CATAGATGTGGAAGAATGGTAGGACGCCTAGCTGGGCGTCGTAATCCCATGAGACAATTCTAATGTCCGCTTGTTCTCCCTGGCGAGCCTGGGCGACAATGTTGTAGTGGCTGAGCATCACGCCCTTGGGCATGCCCGTTGTTCCCTACATGGCAAAGCTCGTCAGCCGTCCTCGAACAGCAACAACGCTCGCTTTTCAATGAAGTATGTTCACAACTCACCGAGCTGTACACAAGATACGCCAGGTCCTTCTTAGGATCAATAGCAGGCTTCTGCGGCACGACGCCCGCCCCCTCGGCCGTAACCTCCGTCCAATGCCTATGCACGCCCGTCTCATCCCTTCCATCCCCGAGCAGCAAGATGCTCTCCGCCGGTAAGCCCGCCAGCGCGGCCGCCTTCCTCGCCGTTTCCAGCAGCGGCTTCTGCGTCAGGAGAGCCCTTGCGCCCGAGTCGGCGAGCTGCTGGGCGAGCTCCTCGGCCGAGTACGTCGGGTTCGCGGGGCAGGAGATGCCGCCGGCCCACTGGATGGCGAAGTTGAGGACGGGGACGTCGATGTTGTTGGGCGTGAAGAGGGCCATGACGTCGCCTTTGCGCCATTGCAGGCGGTGGATGAGGCCCTGGCCGAGGGTGAGGGCGAGGTGTTTGATTTGGGCCAGGGAGTGGGATCTGCCTGTGTCGCAGTCGACGAAGATGGCTGAAGGATGTGTCAGTTGGGGGATGACATTGGCTTTTTAAGGTGAGATGGAAGAGAATATGGAGTTGCAGGTGCTGGTAAGTATGCTATATACTGACGTTTGTCGGCAGGATAGTTTTTGGGCTGTTCCAGGTAGTACGTCCAGAGGTCGATGAGAGGGACGTCGACCGGCGCTTGAGGCGATTTGATGGGCATGGCTGCGGCGGTTATGATACGGCTGATACAGGATCTCTATGAATCAACAGTGATAACAAAACTCTCCAATCTTCTCGAGTCAAGCCAGAATCGCCAAGGGAAAAAGTCAACGCCAAAGAGTCCAGTTCCACAAACACCGGGTCAATAACGGTCGAGGTCTGCTTGGCTCACACGTACTATATCAACCGAAGATAAAAACTACCAAATTGAAAGAAAGGGATCTCCGTCTCCAAAAGAGAAAGAACATGCCGAGAGCATCGCATATATAAAGTGGGATCGCAAACGAGCAGGGGGGGCCAGAACGCTGACCGTGCTTCGTGAAAACGCCGGCATGCCATAGGACAATCATAGGACAGGGCAAGAATATGGGACGCCATCGTCATCCATGCCATGTACGGAACCGTCTTAGTGGAAGCTTCCCCCATCTTCTCCACGCTTTGAAACTAGGTCTAGGCAAAAAGTCCTGTTCTTGTGCTAGCTTAGCACGGGATATAGGCTCGTTCTCCTATTTTTATATCCGTTGTTTCGGGGTACGGACTATCGCTGTGATAGACATATCCGACTTATCTTACTTCCCACAAGATGATCAACGCTTAGCATAAAGGACATGCTGCACATATACATACGGACGAGGAGTGATAGAGAAGAGCAGAGATTGGGGCCCTTGTTGTATTTAGTGTAGACAGATACTATGCTTGGCCGGGTTCGAGTTGCCCGGAGAATAATGACGGGGTCAAAGCGGAGTTTTGGCGGAGCCGTCGATAGATGCGAACCTCGGCACAGCAGACGAGGGGCGGATGTGGGGAAAGCGAAGATATTCGTGATGGTGATGTCTTGTCTTGGAGATTCTGTGTGATGTTTGATACTCATGGAGAGAGTGAGGGAGTGGTGACGAGCAGAATCTGGGGTAGACCGAAATAGGGACATACTATCTTCTTACTGGGTGTATTGCGCGTATTGGGTGGTTTGGGCGGTTCGGGTAAGATGCTGACCTCCCGAGTGCTATGTGGGCATCATGATGTGCGAATGGATACCCTTGGCTCGCTTTCGCTTTCGCATTCTCTTTTACATTCTCCTTTGATTATCGTAGACAAGCGGGAGGCCTTTGTCTTACTCACGAGAAGGCGGAACTTCCAGCGAATCGTGTCAATGGCTTCATGTACGATTCTACATGGTCGGCAGAGTCGAAGGATTCGCACACCCCAATGCCGGCCTGTCGCTCATTGTTCCGGGGTAACATCGATCCGTCGGCAAACGGGCACGGGGACTTTGTGGAATCAATCCCATTCGGCTGCCATTACACGTCATTCCCGACTATCATAGAAGACGACAACTCATCCAACTCCATATATGATCAACAGGTATTCTAGGTATCTGGGTATACAAAAACCACGCCAGCCTCCGTACCTTTCGAGTCATAAACCAAGTAAACAAATGGCAACAAGCAGTATAACGCGCAGACATTGAAAAAAAGATGCCGAGTCTCC